CTTTCTTTGATTCTTTATTTTCAAGTAATATGGTTCAACTTCAACATAGTACAAATTTAATTTGGAAAAAAATTTCCAATTTTACAGTTGGTATGTTATGATGTTATATACGTTTACAATGATATGATTGATGAGTACGTTGCACCAACAGGGGGCTTAACTTTTGAGCTTCTTTGCAACCTCAACAAGATACTTACTTTCATAAAATGCTTGCTAAAGTTCCAGCTCCGACGGTTGACAAGATCTGTCTCCTGCAAAAGTTCCTGCACCATATGAAGATCCTCCTTTCACCTCTTCCATTTCAAACAAGCCCTTCCCAAAGGTGTATCCCAAAGGAACATATAGCATGCCATGGTGAGACAGTTGAGTCACGGTTGTGAATTTGTTAAATCAAGCAACAAAATAAAAAAATTCTAATTAATCTGACAGGAATTTCACATTAAGCTACAATTAAAGCAAAATTCCACAAGCCAATGCCTCCTTTCAAGCAAATTAATACTTATGCTCTTGTATGATGCTAGATTTTGAAAGATTTGCTAACTTTTACAAGCAAAAATACATCACACAACTTGTTACAATAGACACAAAGCAAAATATACAGAAAATAGGAAAATTATGGATGTATACATACTATCATGATTTCTTTCCTAGGATATAAGCAAAGAAGGCAACCAATAAAAAGCAAACCAAGAGCTAGCTATCATGCTTTAAACTATAATTACGGCAGTAGTTTCATTACTTTCATTAATACTCCTCCCATCAAGAACAAATTATCAAAGGCATAAATAAATTAAAAGACCTTTAATAATTGGGTCATTCTTACAACCCCCTCGAAATATAACATTGATGAGGATGTTTTTGAAAAGTCAATTAGAAACCATTACTATATACTATTTAAGAAAAAATGACAACTTTTTTCTAAATTTTATAAAAACAGTAGAGTACGCGACTGTTATACTTGGACAAAAGACCAAGGGAATGCAGCTAGACAATATTGCTTAGACTTGTAGAAGAGAATCAGGGCAAGTTTGGGTGCAAATATGAGACCTAGATTGGTTATATACAGGGTTTTCTCCTATTTCTGGTCCAAATTGAAGTGCACATTTAGTGATCATACAGATCATATGAGCACATCAGCAGATAAAGATAAAAAAATACCAAGTAGCTCATAAAAGACGTGAAATGTGGCTGTTATTATGGTAATTTCATAGATGATTCTAATTTTAATGATGGACAAGCTGTGAGCTTTTATCAAATAAAGGTGAATCAGAAAGAAATTCTCAATCTTGTTATTGGAGCTTTTATTTTGAAGCTTTGTAGAGCACATTGACATCATTGTCTTTTTTGGAGAAAATTTTGCAAACTAAATAATGGAAATACATGCCTTTCTTATCATAGTGCAAAACAAAGTATAAGCAGATTGTGAGAGGAATAGTCCAAACAGAACTTAGCTCAAAATTTATTCAAGTGGATAATGAAATAAAAGAAGAATGAAATATACAAGTATATACAACCCAGTCTGTTGAAGTTATTAACAGAGAAGGATTATCAGACCAGACCAATAAGGTAATGATGTGCATCATAACACGTCACATTAACCACCGGGAAACCGTATGCATTACCAATTTATAATCTATCACTATTACAATTTCAATCACTGAACATAAAATCAAGCAGAAAAACGAATTACCTTGTCATTACCAGACAGTCACAGTACTTAAGCTTCTCCACATAGATGCAATCCCCATTACTCACCTTAAATTGATGCAGTCCAACCTACATCCCAAAACAAAGTAAGAACCCCAATTAAACCCTAAAATCAAAACACACCAAATATCAAACAAAAAGTACAAAATCATTAAAGGAGCCCCAAAAACCACCAAATGATCTAAGGAGACCTAAACACCACACTAAATTTTCGTCACCTCAGAATATCAAAGTAAATTGTACATATCAAAATTACAGCATCAAAATTGACCTCTAAAATTTCTAATAGCTTCACTAATTGTAGCCATAGTTCAATAATCTAGCATAGAACAACCAAAAGTTAACTTTCCTCACAATTAACTTAACGATAAACCCAAAACAGAAATTGATATTCGATGGTTTTGAAAAAAGTATCAGCATAAGCTGCTTCAATATAATGGAGGAAAGAGAGCTTCAAGCTAATGGAGAATTAATTCTCTGCCTTCTTCACCTCGTAGACAAAGTTCTTGACACTTTGCATTGACCTCATCAAATACTTACCACAACAGAAACAGAAATAGAAGCAAAGGAGTATTCAAGCAACACATTTAATGTATTCAATTATTTACATCAGAAAGCACTCATTCAGCAGAGACTATACAGTTTATGAATATAGGTGACTTTTACAGAAAAACAAAAAGAAGATACGGTATCATAAAAGGGAAATTAGCTAGCTATTTAGCAGAAATTCTTGGCCTCAACCACCACTTCATCAAATTCAAGCCACTTTGGCTACTAGCTCAGTCATTTTTTCCTTGTTCTTTTTCCAAAGACACATATCATATATGCCACCATAGTCCTAGAGGACTCCTCAATTATTAAGCTTATATAAACAGATGAAGACTCGAAAATTAATTGATCATCACTAAGCCCTATCATGTATGCCAATTTGACTAAAAAAAATTGTGTTTGAAAGTAAAGGAAATTCAAGTTCACGTGCTTGTGATTTCACACATGTAATTCACAGCATCAGGTAATGTAGTTATGTGACAGTAGGTTAACTGATCCTTTATAAGGACAAGATCAAGAAAACTATAGTTAAAAAAAAAAAAAAAAAAAAAAAAAAAAAAAAAAAGATCACATGAGTCACATTTCTCAGGCCAAACAAACAAGTCCAACATCAATATGAGCAACAAAGCATAAGCAGGAAAAGAAAAAAGATAGCAGATGCATCATTGTTAACACTCTGAAACCAAAATCAAGCGATTAATCACATTGCAGAAATCAGATTGCAGAAATTTTGTCCTCTGTAAACCAACAAGCCCAACCAGATTGCAGAAATCAGCTTCTGATCATCACACACACAAGGAAAACATTGCAATTAGCAGGTGACCAATGTACACACATGCAACACTATTCAAATGCTCCGTATACCCATAATCCATTCCGTTTTCCGTATATTCACAATTCCAAAAGCTCAAATTCACAAAATCCTAAATCAATCGCAATTATTGAAACAAATTAACAAAACCCTAGATCAATCGCAATAAAACTGAGTTGTGGAATCTGATTTCAAACCCCAAAACTTACTATCAAGTCTGCTAAGGCTACTAAAACCCAATTAAATAAACCCATAATCTAAACTAAGTGAAAACACCTAGAAATCAAAATTACAAGAAAAATCAAAAAAGGGGTTTCCGGGAATCAAAAAATTACAATAATCATCAAACAAGAGGGACAAAATCAAAATCATACTCAAAATCAAACATCACATACAAATTCAAACTCAAACACAACAACATAATCACAAAATCCAAAATCAAAACCCAAAAACTCAACGAAATCGAAACCCTAACCCAAATTATACAAAATTAACAAAAAAAAAAGGAGGAATAAACCTTGTGAGGAGCAGCGTCGCCATTAGATGACTACGGTGGTGGTGGTTGGTGGTGGGAGAGAGAGCGAGAAGAGAGAGAAGACAGAGAGTTCAAGAGGAGAGTGAGTGAGATGAGAGAGAGGCAGATGGGAGAAGAAGAGAGATCGAGGAAAGAGAATGAAAGAAGATAATTAAAGGCCGGTTTTTTTTTTTAACAATAGCATGCGATTAACATCATTTCGCACCGGTTTGGTTTGAACTGGTGCGAATTCCCCTTTCCCTCAATCCCGCCTATGCTTTTTGGCACCGGTTTTTAAAAACTGGTACGCATTTTGCGGTGCTCATTTCTGTTTTTCTGCTAGTGTTAGGTGTTGTCTTCTTTAGATTATAGAGTGTTCAACTAGTGTTTTAATGATTATTATGCAAAATGTTTCGATCTAAGTCGACATCACAAAATGAATAGACATTTTACACTTACCAACAATGTCATTGTAAATACTCCCTCCGTCCCAGAATATCTGAGACGTTGAGATGGGCACATAATTTAAGAAAACTTTGAGTGAGGCCATTTAATACATTTTCTTAATGTAAAAAGATTTCTTTTGAATTTTTTATGTGGCAGAAATTTTTTTCCAAAAATCAGTACGTCATGCAAGAGTAGAGGAAAATAATTTTAAATTAGTGGTTCCAAGCTATATTTAGTAATGTGTCAGTTATTCTGGGACGGACGGAAATGAGAACTGTGTCAGCTATTATGGGACGAAGGGAGTATATTGTATAGTCGAAGGATATTTACAATATACTTCATTCGTTTTTTTTTAGTTGACACATTTCTTTAGTCACGTTTGTCAATGCACAAATTCAACCATTCATATCTTTGATTACCGATAAGCAAAAACTATGAAAAGTTGATTTTTTTAAAATATATATCGTGACGAATCTAACAATATCTCACATGACTATATTTTTCATTATGTATAAAGCACAAAACACGGCCAAAGGGGAGTGTGTGAATACTCTGAACAGTGCTAAAGTCAAAAAGTGTCAACTAAAAAAAACAGAGGTAATATTTAACAGTCATATCTCGGGTCATTCATGCCACCCAATCTTAAAAAAAAGTCGAATTTAAAAAATTAAGGTATATGGAAATCCCCATCAGAATGACATGCTACTATAAGCTCTAATACTTCAACATAACCTTGCATTGTCTAGTATTTGAAAAAGAGATTCTAATTCGATCTCTATCATAATTTGGTAGAAATTCGTCGGTTGCCGACACTTCTAGCCCTACAATCGAACACATCCACACAAGTTAAAGGCAGTTGCACTTGCACTTGCACTACAGTAGATTAGTAGTGGTAGTAATTTTGAGGTTTATATAGTATAGTCCTCACTCCTTAATCCTTATACTGTTGTATCCCTTGTCACCTACTACAGCATATTTTTCTGTTGGCCATCTTTCAATTTTTATTATTTGTAAATGTGTATTTAATTCCTTCTGTTTGTCTTATTTTACTCGTAATTTTTCCATATAGGATTTTCAATTTACATACCTCATTTCCCTATTTAACAATTTTTTTCTCTACGTTTACTCTAAAATTGAGCCACATAGCCGCTCATTCATTTATTTTTTAAAATTCCCTTCGTCTCAATTTACTCGGAATTTTCCATATAGGGTTTCCAATTTACATACCCCATTTCCCTGTTTAACAAATTTTCTATGAACTTTTTCTCTTTAGTTGGGCCACATATTCACTCATCTATTTTGTTCTTTCTAATTTTTTACTTGCATAAAATCTTGTGTGAATGGTTATAACGAAGAGAGTATATAATAAAACGCGACCCGCAACACTTGCTTCACTTGTTATTGGTCCCTCCCTCCACCAAAAATACAAACTCCATCCCCTCCTCCCTTATTAAATTCCCCTGCTTTTTTTTTCATCACCTCTCACATTATTTCTCAAAATACAAAGATGATACACACAAAATCAGAGTCAGATTTAACAAGTTCAGCACCATCATCACCTTCAAGATCACCAAAAAGGCCAATATACTATGTACAAAGTCCATCAAGAGACTCACATGATGGGGATAACAAGTCAGCTTCATTACAAGCAACTCCTATGTACAATAGTCCTATGGAGTCCCCTTTACATCCTTCCATGGGTAGGCATTCAAGGAACTCATCCGCAAGCCGGTTTTCGGGTGTGTTTCGGTCTTCCTCGGGGCTAAAAGGAAGCCGAAGGAGGAATGAGAAAGGGTGGCCTGAATGTAATGTGATTCTTGAAGAAGGTAACTATGATGGTGTTGATGAGAAAGGGTTGTCAAGAAGGGTTCAAGCCTTAATTGGGGTGTTTAGCTTTGTTGTGTTGTTTACTTTGTTTTGCTTGATCATTTGGGGTGCTAGTAGACCTTTTAAAACTCAAGTCACTTTGAAGGTAATTTGTTTATTTTCTTGTCTCTTACTACTAATTGTCTTGCTCATAAATTGATATGTACTATGTTAATTAGTTTTTTGTTGCTAGCAAAGGACACTTGTATGGTTCTTTGTTTTTGTTAATTTATTAATCTCAATATTATCCACTAGCTTAAATTTGGTTTAGTATTCACTTTATTAGGTTGTTAACTAATTAAGTAATTATTAGATGGTTAATACTTCTTTGGTAGACTTTGAGTTTAAAAACACATTCTTTCAAAACACGGTTTTTGAAAAGAGATTAAAAATGTAAAAGGATAATTAGTTATTCAAAATAACTTAAACATGGTCGTTAAGAGTGGTTAGGATAATCGTGGTTTTAAGTTGCTTTTATTGATTTCTTCAACTTATGTAATTAAATCTCATCATTAGATTATGTGCCAGGAGATTGTGTTATAAATGAAATAAATCTATGGCCAATCATTAAACTCCTTTTTGACACAAGAAAACAGGGGAAAAAGTGTGATAAACTCATTATAATATTCAAAATAAAAGAAAAAGAATCATTATTTACAAACGTTTTATAAATATCTATATCATGTAACTCATAAAACTTTCATAAAATTAATCAGAAGCAAGTAAAAGGAGATTGGGAGAGTAACACTTTACAATTGATATTGATTTTAGTAGTCAATTTTTGCTAAGACCATAGTCAATATACCTTAAAAATAAAGGTTCACTAAATATAATAAATTAGTAAGAATTTATATTTGTTTAGTGTACAATACCAACTTGATAAAATTGTTCTTAACATACAAATACCATACGGACTAAATTAGACCATACCAGATTAGACCTTTAAAAATTCAGACCACAACACCTATGATGTAGTGTTGTGCAAATATTCGTTAATTACCACTTAGACAAGGAAACATACAACGACTACATGATCAAAGGAAATGACAAAAGAGCTAAGCTCCGGACCATGTTTAGGGTGTTAAAATATTTGATCAGTGTATTTATATGCTAAATTATTGAATTAGATGTCTTCAATTACTTGTATGCAAGCTAATATTGTACTGAATTTGGCTTGGTTGGTTTCTTGGCAGAGCTTAGCAGTACACTACTTCTCTGTATCAGAGGCAACGGATTTCTCCGGTGTACCTACGAGAGTAATGACGTTCAATGGCTCACTGAAACTAGGCATACACAATCCTGCTACATTTTTCGGCATCCATGTTAGTTCAACTCCCATTGCTCTTCTCTATTCGGAGATTACAGTTGCTACTGGTCAGGTCAGTATTCTGTTACTACATATAGCAGTACTAATTTTTACCAGTTATTATTATAGTCAATTCAAATTTATCACGACCTGATAAAGAAATGTAGCCTATTATTTAGGGACAGCGACAATTATGAATAATACTTGTGAAGTTGTGATCATGACAATAACTGATGAATGATTGTGCAAAATTGCAGTTACTGAAACACTATCAGCCAAGAAAGAGTCGAAGGACTACTTCAATTACAGTATATGGAGACAAGGTACCGTTGTATGGTGCTGGATCAAGTGTAGATGTCTCTAATGAGCATGGTGGCCAGGTTCCGTTCATTCTAGAAACGGAGATCCATTCTCGAGGTTATGTCGTAGGGAAGCTAGTGAGAACGAGGCATCGTTTGCACGTATCCTGCAACGTTACAGTCGATTATCTAAACACCAAGACTATCAAATTTAGGAAGAATACTTGTTCATACTTTTGATCAAATGCTTAATTTGGGTAATGCAAGAGTTGCCAATTTGTCATAGTTTTGGGAAGTGTATATAGTGATATTTGTATGTAGATAACTAGCTAGATGTCTTGTGTATTCAAAAGTTCTCTTTTTAATTTTCTTTTCTTTTCTTTTCTAATTTAGATTACAACTTATTTAATTTTTGACTCTTTGTTATATGATTGGCAAATGAATAAAAGAAGATATTGTTTGTGAAGCTTTACATGCGAAAATGATCGTCGAGATGTGATATTGTTTGTGAACAAGTCATTAAAAAAAACGGAGAGAGTATAGCTATTTATACCATCACAAACATAATTATCATAACTACTAGATGCTTAGAATTTGGTTTTTGAATGCGACTACACGTCTACACCCTTGATTGTAGAGCATTAAGTGTATATATTTGGTGGTTCTTTGATAGTCTTTCTTCCTGACCACTCCTTGATAAGGTGCATTATCCAAAGATGAAAAAATGGTACATGCTTTACAAAATTAAAGAAGTAATTTGAAAATTTTCAAATTTATATACCTAAATCCCAAATCACAAAATTTTAATGATATTTTTACTTGTTGATATCTAATTTTTTTTAATTGTAGAGTGAATTAAGCCATTGTAAGCTAATGGTGGGTGATTGGAATCATAGAGAGTTGTGGGTCAATATTTTTATTAAGTATTGTTAAATAAAAGAAAAAATACACTTTAATAATATCAACTATTGACGATTTACTTTTAATAATTTCAACTAAGGTTTATTATCTAATAATTTCGACTATGCTATGAGTTTGCCTCTAGCACTCCAGCAGTCCCAACCAGTCAATGACCTGTTATAACAGGTAATCATGACACGTGTCGACACGTGATTAGTCCAAATTTTTAAACCTTAGTTGGGATTATTAGAAGTAAATTGTCAATAATTGGGATTATTAAAGTGCATTTTTCTAAGTAAAAAAAAAAAGAAGTAATCCGTAGTTGTTTAAAGAAAAACTAATAAAAATTTAAAGATAGTTATTAACAAAATTAACAAGTGAAAGGTAATAGTTCACAAACTTCACAAGCTTTCCTTACAGTATAATTTGTCATAAATTAAATTGCAATGCATTGATCGGTCTTTTAAGATCATTCATGAAACCAAACAAATTATCTTTAACTTCCAAGCTTGCCTTCTCCCCCATGACCCTCATGTTCAAAGCCTCGATTCTCTTCTTCATCTCTCGATCCTCCATCACCCTTTTGACGCCATCACTAACATCCTTTACACTAAACCCATTCATCTTTACCCCGATTTTCCACACATTAACGATGTATTCACAATTCAAAGATTGATCGCCGGCTACCGGAAAACACAAGAGGCATTTCTTACCTTGTATAGCTTCCATAGTAGAATTCCATCCACAATGTGTGAGGTAACACCCAACTGCCTTATGTTGCAGTACTTCAAGTTGTGGTGCCCATGCAACTATCTTCCCTTGTTTACCTAATCTTTCTATGTACCCTTTGGGCAGCCCATCTCTCCATTCAGGCCCAAGAACCCAAACAATTGGGCTTTTTAACTCTTCCAATGCTAATGCCAAATTTCTCACCTTTGCTTCGCCAATTGGGCTAACCCAACTTCCAAATGATATGTATATCACTGAGTTGGGCTCTTGTTGCTCAAGCCAGCCCAAACAGCTTCCATCTGCTTCCCAAAAAGTTAGGCTTTCACTCAGTCCATTACTTCCTAATGGGCCGATTGAATAAGTAGTTGGGCTGTACTCCGGATTTTTCGCCCATACTTTTTGTGACTCGTTTGGAAAGGAGTTGACAAGGATCCACCTGAGAGATCTGGACCGGTCCATGGTTTTGGCCCAAAACTTAAATCTTGCCTTTTTAGCAGCTTGAGTTCCGATTAACCATGGCAAATCTTCACTCTTAAGAAGTGGTTGATCATGTTGAAATGATATTGGTCCATGAAATTGTGGGAGCCCTACAAATTTTGAGTACGATATTTCATGTTAATATGACATTATGTGGTAGACACTACTTTTGTTTAGAAAAGTCTCTACTTTGAAAAGGAGTAGATAAAATTTAAACTCGTGCCCTTGTATATATTGCCACGGTGGCTCTGATCCTGTGTTAGAAAACCAACTCGACCAAAAGTTAAGTTGATGATTAGAGTCTCAAATTTGAATTTTTCCATTGCCATTATCATTAACACTTTGTATTGAAACGAATTCAACATAATGTCTTTTCTAACATTTAAACTACCAATTTCTATAAATGTTAATGATAATGGCATTTATAATTTCACGTGAATTTATTATAAAACGGAGAAAGTGATAACTAATAGCCAAGCATACATTTAAAATTACCATATAACAAGAGCGATAACATTCAGTTTGGACATTTGTAAATGAAGATCAGAAGAGGAAACACTACTTAAACACGATTGAGAACATGGGTTGATTAATGTACATATTATTTTAATTCAATTGATATGAAATATGATTAATCAATGGTATTTTATTGCAAGTTGACTTATTGACTTGAGAATGTATAAAAAATTTTGGTTTGTTAACATTAACATCACCCTATTTTATTGTTAAAATATATAATTATATTTTATAATCTACGTGGCTACAACGTGGCACAGCTTTAAAAAATAATTTGGATCAACATGTCAACATGCATGGAAAGATCTGGTCTTAAATAAGTAGATTTTCCTTCTTACAGTAGATGATATACCTTAATTGCGTGGGAAAACAGACGGCAGAATATTTAATTATTTTTGTACGGAGTATTAATATGGTGACAGCAACATTTTAGTATAATCAACTATTTATTCTTCTCCTATTTTTTCAACAATCAATCTATTTCTTCCATTTCTTTTTTTTTTATTTTTTTTTTTATTTGGTGTTTAGAGAATCTCATAGGGCGAGTGATGAGAATCGATTCCAAATCACCTAGAATCGATAGGGAGCTCTAACTACCTTAGATATCCCTCACTCTCAATGTATAGACGTATAGATCCACGTGTATACTTTATTTATTTATTTTTTTTTATGTATAATGATGATAAAACTTAGGGCTCACTAACTTTGAGAGATAGGAAAGACTATGGCTCACTAACTTTGAAGTGATAGGGCTTAATAATAATTAAAAAATAAATAAAAAAAATACTTCCTTCGTCCCATAATATAGTTTCTATTATTTTTTTTCACGGTATTTAAGAAATGGGTGGAGAAGTGGACTAGGGCTCACTAACTTTGAGAGATAGGAAAGACTATGGCTCACTAACTTTGAAGAGATAGGGCTTAATAATAATTAAAAAATAAATAAATAAATACTCCCTTCGTCCCATAATATAGTTTCTATTATTTTTTTTCACGGTATTTAAGAAATGGGTGGAGAAGTGGAAAAAGTACATTAAAAGTGGAAAAAAGTTAGACAAAAGTACAAGGCAAGTGGATAATTTAAGGGAAAAAAAGTGAAAAGTTCAATTATAGACAAAAGTTAGAGAGAGAAAGTGGAAAAAAGTAAAATACAAGTAGATAATTTAAAGGTAAATTAGGAAGTTCAATGAAAAGTAAAAAAAATAAGGGTATAATAGTCTTTACATATTATCCAAAAATAGTTACAGAAATAATATTTTGAATCTCCAAAATAAGAAAACAGGAACTATATTATGGGACGGAGAAAGTATAAATATATACGAAGTAGAACAGAGTAATTACACAATCACAAATTACACAATCACAAATTGCTCCGTAGTTCTTTCCCGAAGATAATAATAAAATAAAATGGAACATACCTTTATTCTAGGCTTTTACTGATCTATTGCTAGTTGCTACTATCACCTCCCATTACACTTTTGCATGCGTGATTGCGATCGAGATGACAAAAAAAGATATGAACATAAAGAATGAAACATGTACCTTTATGATTCTCTTTGATTACATAAAGATTACCTACTGTATCTAAATTTGATTGACGTTACTAATTCAAATTAGAACTTCTAATAATAACATGACAACTAGTTTTATAGGAGCAATTGTTTATTAGTAATATTTCATTCCATTCTAATACAAGTTACACTTTGACGTTATTTTATGCATAATTTTAAGTCTTTAAGTTATGAAATACAAAGTACGAGTATTAAATTAACAAACAATCTTTTGAAAGTTATATTGAGTGGAACCCAAATAAAACTATGTTTCCTTCATAACAGTCATCAATATAAACCATAAAATATAGTCAAATTTAAATGCGTGTGTGAATGATACAAATTAAACCTCAAAATGTTGCAACTATTAAGAAACGAAAAATTTACCATACTCAGAGATGAGACCTCTTTGAACTAACTCAGGAATGGAGGATATCAAAGAATAAGTAGCCAACATCGCAGGCCAAAACCCAGCAACAGCAACACCACATTTAGTCCCAACATCAAAAGCCCAAGAAGCTAGTAGATCAACAACCATGCATGCTATATTTTCACCACCATTATTATTAGTCTTACGAATTAGTCGCTCCATATAAGGCGGCATGTGATCCTCCATTGCTTTCTCAATATTAAAGAAATCGCGTGACTTACTCTCATCATCCAACCCGTCTGGGATCGATACACACACGATCCCACCCTTGGTGGCGGCGTTGACTTTGTTGAAAATCAACCGGTGTATGAACTCCGGCAACACCACCAATGGTCGAAACCCAAAGGTTGACAAGGATGAGGCTAGTTTTAGCATGGGCGTTACATGCCCTTGTGCTGGATATGGTACTAATATGATCATTTTCTTTTTTGGCTCATCATAAACCATATTGTAAAGAAATTATATTATTTTGATATATACTATATGGTTTTTTAGGATGGTTTTGGGTCTAATATGTTTGTGATTTTTGGTGCTTATATTCTAGAGAGATTATCAACATGAAAATCTTATACTTGTATAAATTTATAATATAATATAATATAATTAAAAGAATGTAGCAAGTTGTTGTATGAATTGAAGGTAAAAAGGCACGTGGGTATTTATAAAAAGAACTGTGGATGTTGCAAAGACGCAAAGCACACGGAATTGTGGAAATTAGATGGGAATTAAAGCTGGAAAACTTAGGTTGAGATTGTAGGGGATATAAATTTATGTTGTAGGGTAAACTCCTTTTTAGGTTAGTTGATGACCTTTAATTAAGATGAATAGCTAATGCTAATGTGTATATATACCAGACTCCCACCCAATGCAATAATTTTTTTATTGGTCAATGGTCATCAGGAAAGATTGTCGAAAATAGGGTTGTATTATTTGATCTGGAGGAAAAAAACTAAAATATGATAATAAGAGATATAAAATATTCAAATATTTCCCTTAAAAAAAAAAATCAAATATGTGGATCAATCATATTCATTACGTACCTATCATTGTGCTGGAATCAATATACCAAGTATATATTTTGAAATAATAAACATTATTTTAATTAATACAAGTAATAAGTTGTACCTTTTATTGCGTATGATCTATATATTTTGAAGAACCTAACAATAATTTATACTCCATACAAGTATGTGACAAATTCAATCAAATGAAAAAAAAAAAAATAACTATGTCATGAAGTCATAAAATGTAAAATAAAAAAAATAAATAAATAAAGATAAATCTTTATCTTTATTATAGTTGTTGTTTAGGCAAATCTTAGTAGGGTGGGTCTAGGAATTTGCTTAAGGTTTGAGGGGTTATAATAATCAAGCTTGCAATATCAATCACAATAACCAAGAGCAATAATATAATAAAGAACGAGCAAATTAGTTAAAGGAATAAAAGTTAGAAAGGCAATACTGAGTAAGGACAATCTCCTTGATTAGAATAGACATAGCATTTGTAAGTAACTTGCATATATATTTGAGTATTAATGTATGAATGTGCGTATGAGGCTATTACATATGTTCTCAGCTATTTATACCTAGGGAATTCTAGGGTGTCACATGTATTTTCAGAATAATTTCAAAGAGGAAATATCTTCGTTGTTTATTCTTCTTTCCTTGCGTGCCTTGTGTATTTTTGGCATGCTTTCCCTGCTGATTGGTTAATTGATCTTTTTGCCATACTTATGCTAATCAAGCCGTTTTGAATTGATCTCCTATTTATTTGGCTTGCTCTTGGATCTTATGACCGTGCCTTATATCTTTTGGGCTCCTTGGGATTATGGGCCCAACAATTGCCCCTAATTTTTATGTTCAAGCATTTGAAGATAGAAATTACCAAAAGTGTCGTTGATACATATCTTTTAAAAATTGGAAGTTTCTCAACGGTTAACAAAATTAAGAGTGGGGAAGCGGTTTTAAGGCAGGTGCCTTGAGAATCGCAACTGGCGGTTTGCTTTACTTGGGGTATTTATGAAAGGATTGGTGTCCTTCGAAAAAGTGTATTATTCCGATAGAGGGTACGGAATTAATTAGAAAGCTAATTATTCAGTGAGCTCAAGTGATCGGAATGCCTAACTAGAGGCCGCTTTCGATCAGTAATATTAATGAATAATTAATATTACAGCTTAATCTTGACTGAACCCTTCGGGTCACACCCAATCGTGTAACCGAACCGAAGCGACGAATTAATCCGAAGGATTATATGAGTCAATAGAAATTTTACGAACAAAGACGTCGGATTCCGAGCTTAGAGCGTCGTAGCCGAGCGTCGTAAGTCGAGTCAAATTTAGGAATCGACGAGATGGAAAAATCAGCCAAACAACAAGTCACAACTTATAGCCCTAGCCTCGGAATGGCAGAGCCATCCGATAGCTAGGGCAATATGGCTAGCAAAGGCTGCCAACATGTGAGGCATGGCCGCAAGCCCAGCCGCAGCATGTCGAGCTAGCTAGCATCGCTAGCTAGTTGGCGTAGCAGGCCAGCATCATTGGAGCGCGAGGCGTGCTAGCATGTTAACAACATACGCCTAATAGCCCACAAGCATGAGTAGCTATCTGGGCCGAGCGTCCAAGCGTGCGAGCGACCAGCTAGCAGGCCCGGCCAAGGGGCTAGGTCGCCAGCGAGGCAGCCTTGGCGCCCAAGGCAGGCCACGCCAGCTGGCACGCTGCGATAGGCCGAGTGTGTGGGAGCCGTTTTGTGGTTTTGCTTGGGGAGCAAGGGGAAGGTGGTCCTCCCCTTGTAGTCCTCACCTAACCCCTTGCTCTCCATGTGACACTTGTCGTTTGGTGATTGTTGTGGCATTTTAATTTAATTTGGTATTAATTAAATCTTATTTTTGCTTTTTACCAACTATCCCACATTGAAAGATGATGGGAATTCTTGGGGAGAATTCCCTATAAATACCCATCATTGAGTATTGGGATTTTCACTTGAATTGGTGAACTTTAAGGGATCTCCATAAGAGAGAAAACCTTTGTTTGTAAACTCTAAGTTGTTTTGGTCTAGCCTCGACTAAGCTTCAAGGTAGGGACCGGTTACGGTTCGGTAACGAGGGTGTGAGTCGTTGGAGGTTCTCGCACTTGCGGAACTTGAAGCTTTCAAGTCAGAGCTCAACGGTTGAGCGAAGCACGCTACAAGGATGAGTATTCTTTCTCTCTCTTCTCTTATGTTTATGCTTATTTTGCATGCTTTTATTTATGTCATAATTATTATGCATGCGATCTAGTTATTGGGTTTTGTTTCCGCACGGTGTCGGACACCGCAAAACCTAACAATTTATTGAGTGCGCAAGCTTCAATCAAATCACTTCACTCTTTGTCGCAAGTTTGAATTTGTCTCAGGTAATTCTCTCTCTTGCTCTGTCTTCTCTGTTTCTTTCAATTTTCTTGCTTGTTGTTATTCTTCGATGGGGGATATGGTGAGAGTGGTGTTTGCTTGTGCTAAGGAGGGTGTGAGGAAGCCTATCTTCACTCGTGAAACTCAAAGTCACATAGTAATCACTCTAAGGAGGGATTACGATTCTGGCTTAGCACTCGATCTACTAGTGTGCAACAGTGCAAGTGTGTCGCAATGACATTAAGTTGCTGTCCGTTATGTGGTTACATTTCCAATGGTTGGAAAGTTGTAATTAATTCTCATGTTTCATATTTATGAACATTATTAGTTTGGCTCAATACTTAATACAAGTACAATACAATAGTAGAGAACTAGAGATGCCAACTAAACTTAATTATGTAGGATTGTAGGAAACGTTTCTTCAACTCGGCATTTACACAACACAAAAATTAAAATAAAAATAAAATAAAAAGAGATGTGTGAACACGATCAAATTAGGCACATGAGCACATGAAATTATAAGAACTATAAAAATTTTCATTACTATTTCATAAATATCTCAGCTGACAATGACCCTTCTTGGTTTATTTTTACCTAACTATAACCATCTTATGGGATTATATTAAGGGATCCCTTTAATTAGTTCTACTTAATCATTAGAAATTTCTAACTAATAATTAATGTACTATGGAGTAGTATAGATTTTATTCTAGAACTTGATTGTCATGTGACAAAAGTACAATTAAAATTTGGCCTATTGATAAATGGTTTAGATCAAATTCCACTATGAGCATTAAAGCCTATCTTAAAAATTACATATTGGAGTAGTATATTAGAAGAATTTTGGTAGATTTCACTATAGCATTTGTGAAGGACAAAATGTTGCATACTCTGTATTAAAAAGCGTTGCAAGAAACACAAAATGATGAATATTCTACTCGAACAACTAAGTTCTTTACAAGATAAGTCATTAGACTCGTTAAAAACAGTAAGAAGGCCCCATTTAAATCACCAAGACGATAGGCAAGAATGTCGAAGGTGGAACTTTTTTCATGAATGCGGATTCATTCGACATTTTAGATCGGTTATATGACCAAATTCTCAAAACTCATCTTGAGAGAATAAAACACAATAATATTAACATGCTATATTATACGAAATATTAGAGAATTCTCCTCCAATGAGATGTAATCATCAACTTAACAATTATGCTCGGCATATGCTTACCTTTTTTCAATTTAGTTTAGAAAAAATAATTTCATAAAAAAGTTAATAAGTTCAAACAAGTTTATAAAAAAATCGAATTTGCTAGGTTCATTTGATTTTCACTCATGAGAGCTTATATGAAACTCGACAATCACTAGTATTTTCTAAACTTATTTGAACTTATCAATTATTATGCATATACGCCCAATAATCTTTTTATAAAAAAAATTGAAAGTCATGCAAATATAATAAATTAGGGTGCATCTGTTGTTGGTGAACTTATAAGAACTGTTTACCAAAAGATTTAGATAGGCTTTTATTAAGTTAAAATTGATTCTTCTAATGTAATAATTGCTGACATTATTATTGTCCATGTATCGGCTTCCAATCAATTCTCATATAAAATACTTTCCGCCAAAATTGTTAGTGACATTATTTTATTTTTTTCTTTCTTTCAAGAGAAAGACTCGAAAAAGGTAGATGGATTGTATGTTTTCAACTTTTCATAAAATATTTTAATGATTAAATTAACTAGTTACACAATTTCCTACCTGATATATAAAAATAAAAATTGTATGTTAGTCACTTCAATTTTGTCTCATCTTTTCCCTAACAACTTATTTGTCCTCCTACAATGTCAAAACTGATTGTACGAGCTTGAGTCTTTTGCTCTTTATTAATTTTTCAATTACTTTATGCTCCATTCGTCCCTATTCTTTGTCTTATTTGACTTTTCACGGTTTTCAAGACGTGTCTTATAATACATATAACTCCATTTTCATATGCGTAAAAATTATAAAAACTTGATATTAATAAAATATACAATGAGACAAATCTAACAAGACCCCACATAAATGTATTATCTCGTATTGATTAATAGTTATTTATAGTCAATGTATTTGAAGTTTGACCCATATATTTACAATGGGGGAAAAAAATAAGGACGGAAGGAGTATTAATGAAGGAAAATTACTAAAGCTATAGTTAACATCTTATAACATGCTTTATATTTTAGCTACATTATAAAGTACATAGTATAACATGTAAATAGAATATAATATCATGTTCTTCATTTGAATTAGCACAAATTATCTAGTGAGAAAAATCGTGATTTATTACGTTTAAATTTATATATATATATATATATATATATATATATATATATATATATATATATATATATATATATAGAAATGGGATCATGTGAGAACCCATGGCTTAGGTGAGAACCATTTTAAAATGAGAACTCATCTAACACCATTCATTTTTATTAGATGAATGGTTCAGATTTATTGTTTCATTAGTGGGAATTCACGTGGGCCACCTTCATTAATTGTAATGATTGTTTGTATTTTTTTTTTAATTTTTGTGCATTGA